GTCGTCGTTTTCACCGTCGACGCGCGATCGAGCTGTCGATGGTCATCGCGCGGGCGCGCGCGCGCGGTGGTACGCCGCACGAGTCGTGACTCGTGACACACCCCCTCGTGTCCTCCACCCCGTCGCGCGATCGATCGCCCCGGCGCGCGTCGTCGGGCGTGATGGTCGACATACAATCGTTTCGCGAGTGATGACTCAAGACACATTTGGGGTAAAAACGGGTACGAATCGGATCGCGCGGGCGCGGGGTGGGGTCGATCGGGGGCGACGGGCGCGGCGTGGGCACACGTCCGCGCGCGCGCGTTCGGCACCATGCCGCGTGTGCCCTCGAAAGACACCGAGCGATGGCGCCGCGTGGTGAAGGAGCTCGTGGACGTCGTCGTCGATGCGATGCTCGACTACGCGCCCGACCGCGGGATGGCGAATGTGACGGATGAGGAGATCAAGGCGCGCGGGATCGTGGCGCTGAGAGATCTGAACGCGCGACAGAACGGCGCGCGCGTGGAGGCACCGTCGCTGTGGAACTGGGGACGTAAGAGATGGCGCAATCTCGTGCGTCAGGAGCTCTGTAGGCGCGCACGGCGCGGCACGCGGGGACTGTCGGATGAAGAAGCCGCTGCGTTTCTCGCCGCGCTCCCGGCGTGGGGCGAACCGCGACGGAATCCGCCGAGCGAGGCGCCGGCTCCGACGCCGCAACGGTTCCGTGATGACAAGAGCCGAGATCACCCGGGATGGCAGCTCTTCAAAGGCGTTTTCAGCGACTCGGACGTGACGCGGTTGCTTGCGTTGAAGTCAAAAGTAAAGGCTAACGAGTGGGCGAATCTGTTCAACGGCGCCACGTGGGAGCCAAGCGAGCGCGATAAGGCGCGTATCTGCACCGCGCTCGAGTCGAAGGAGCTAAGCACATCATACGAGTGTGTCGTCATGCCGCGGCAACGCAAAGGGTGGAGCGTGACCGTCCACAATAGCGCGTTCAGACAGCGAGCTCACGTGGGAACTGTGGAGGACGAGACGTGGATCGTCGAGCGCATCAGGCCCCTTCTCCCCGAGAACGCCGTGTTCCCGCCGCCGGGTCACATCACGTACATGATTCAGAACGTGCGCGACGTGCCGTGTTCGGAGTCTCGGAGCGAGCAGCCTATGCACTACGATTTCAAACCCGGTTCGCAGAGGTTGGGTGTCGTCATCAGCCTTCACGATTCGGTCTACGTGGCGGTCGGCGACCGGTGGTCAGAGGACGTGTCGAAAGTGCGCGCGCGCGTGCGCATACCAAATGGTTCTGTGTTTGTTTTCGTGAGTTCCGTCCCGCACGCGGGGATGGGCGACGTGGGCGAGGACGGGGTGGAGAGAATACACATTCACGTCGGTTTGGAATGCGAGCCTAAAGACGTACATCCGGTTCGTGTCGGCGAAGACCGCGGCGAGCTTTTGGCATATTAGAGATGATTTTCATTACGTACACACGAGACATACACCCGAACGCATTCGCCCGCACCCATCCGAGGCGTCGCTCGGTCGCGCGGCGTCCACGCGCGCCCGTTCGACGCGGCGTCGACGCGAACCGCCCGAACACCGCGCGCACGCGAACACACCACCCGAGAGTCCGCCTCGACGCCGAGGACGCGCGTGCGGCGCGCGACGGGCGACGGCGACGGCGACGACGACGACGACCGCGACCGCGATGGCGTCGCGCGTCGATCGCGCGGGCGTGGACGCGGTGTGGCGCCGAGCGATGAATCGGCGTCGAGGCGAACGGGCGACGGATTCGGACGCCTCGACGGACGACGCGTCGACGTCGGACCGCGCGCTTCGGCGCGCGCTGTCGAGGGTCGATATCCTGTTCCTCGGCGTCGGTGGGATCGTCGGCGCGGGGGTGTTCGTGCTCACGGGGGAGGTGGCGTCGCGACGCGCGGGCCCGGGCGTGGCGGCGTCGTACGCGTTGGCGGCGATGACGAGCGCGATCACGGGATTGGCCTACGCCGAGTTCGCGACGATGATGCCCGAGGCTGGGTCGTCGTACTCGTACGCGTACGCGGCGTTCGGGGAGTTTGGGGGGGTGATCACGGGGGGGAATTTGGTATTGGAGTTGCTCATCGCGAGCGCCGCCATCGCGCGCGGATGGACGTCGTACGCGGCGGCGCTGGTGGGTGCGAGCGCGGAGGCGGTGCGGTTGAACGTCATCGAGGGCGTCGTCGTCGTGGACGTCGTCGCGGGATTGGTCGTGGGCGCGATGACGGCGCTGCTCGTCGCGGGGGCGAAGGAAACGGCGAGGTTCAACTTTGCCGTCACGTGCGCGAGCCTACTCGTCATCGCCCTCGTCGTCGTCGCGGGGTCGACCAAAATCGACGTCGCGAATTGGAGCCCGTTCGCACCGTACGGCGTGGGTGGGATCATCTCGGGCGCGGCGGTGGTGATTTTTTCATTCGTCGGTTTCGACACCGTGGCGACGTGCGCCGAGGAAGTCGCCGATCCGAGCGTGGACCTGCCGATCGGCATCTTAGGTTCGCTCGGGATATGCGCGTCGCTGTACGTCATCATGTGTCTCGTCATCACGGGGATGATTTCGTACGCCGATATTGACGTCAACGCCCCGTTCGCCGTGGCGTTTACAAATTTCGGCATGTCGTGGGTCGCCTCGTTCGTCTCCGTCGGAGCGCTCGCCGCGATCACGACGTCGCTTTTGCTGTCGATGATGGGACAACCACGGATTTTCATGGTCATGGCGCGCGATGGTTTGCTCCCGCCGTGGTTCTCGCGAGTTTCCGAGAGGTTCGGCACGCCCGCGAACGCGACGATTTTCAGCGGAATCGTCACCGGCGTCATGGCCGTCTTGCTCGACATCAACCTTCTCGCCCAACTCGTCTCGATAGGGACGTTGAGCGTATTTTGTTGCGTCAACCTCGGGATTCTCATCGTTCGGTGCACACCGGAAGACGCGGATTGGTCTCGCCGAACGCCGCCGCTTCGCCGGGCGCTCGGCCTCTTGCTTTCCTCGCTCGCGTTCGGGCTTGATTATCGACAGCGCGGATCCGCCGTTTCCTGGTTCGGCGTCCTCTGTCTCGCGCTCGTCGTCGTGAGTACGCTGAGTTTTCTCACCTTGCCCGTCGTCGCCAAGAGTGGATCTCGCAAGACGTTTCGCGCGCCGATGGTGCCGTTTTTACCCGCCGTCGGCGTCTTACTCACGTGCGTCTTAATCGGCGGTCTAGGCGCGATGGCTTGGATTCGATACATCGTGTACACCCTGGCGTGTACCGCGGCATACGTCACGTTCGCATGGCGTCAATACGAGCATCAAAAGGCGTCGTCGTCCGCGTCGAGCGGGATCGAGCTCGCCGAGACGGGCGCCGCGGACGCCGCGGACGCCGACGCCGACGCCGACGACGTCGCCCTCCTTCCCGCGCCCACCCAGAGTGCGCCCGCGCACCACCCACGCACGCATAGCACGTAGATATCATCCCTAGCGCACGCACCGTACGTCTACTCGCGTCGTTTTCGACCGGATCCACCCCAAGCGTCGTCCCGTCGTCGCCGCCGTCCCGCGCGTGGGCGAACAGTCTCCCGGAGGACTATCCATCGTCCACGTCCCCGCCCCCGTCGCGCCATCCCTCGGCGCATGCGCCTCGGTGAGCGCGATCGCTCGTCTCGCGCGACGCCACCGCGCGATCGATCACCCGCGCTCGCCGCGCGCGCGTCCAGAGGCGCGCGCTCGTCGTCGTCGTCCGCGTTCGTCGCGCGCGGCGGCGCGTCCATCGCGCGCGGGGCGTGGCGCGCGATCGCAGACGTCATGGGACGGAAAACGCGCGCGTCGACCAAGCGCTCGGTGCTCGCGCTCGTCGTCATCGCCGTCGTCGCGATGTTGGCGACGCGAGGGGCGGGCGCGCGCACGGGGGCGGTCGGGACGGGTGGATATCGCGGGACGGGCGAACGGCGGTCGACGCTCGAGGCGACGGACGCGACGACGGACGGACGAAGCGATCGAACGAGGGACGATGAGAGATCGACGTTGGGTGACGCGAAGTTTGATACGAATGACCGGGATGGTGACGTGGATGAAGATGACGTCGTGACGGGATCGACGATGAAGGCGTCGGACGCGCGCGCGGCGAAGGACGTCGCCGAGGTGGACGTGACGGAGACGCCGAGGTCAAAGTACTCGAAGGAGGAGACGGAGACGGAGACGACGACGGAGACGACGACGATGAAGTCTGCGACGTTGGCGAACAAGTCGACGTCTTCCGTGCTTTCGGCGACGAAACTGACATCCGAACCGGTCGGACGCGGTTCCCTCACGAAGTCCTTGCCGGTGCCGATTCCCAAGGCGACGCGTCTGCGCGTCTTGGTTACCGGTGGCGCCGGTTTCGTCGGCTCGCATCTCGTCGACAGACTCATGGAGCGCGGCAACATCGTCATCGTCGCCGATAACTTCTTCACCGGTCGCAAGGAAAACATCATGCACCACTTACAAAACCCATTCTTTGAGCTCATCCGACACGACGTCGTCGAGCCGATGCTCGTCGAGGTGGACCAGATTTATCATCTCGCGTGTCCGGCGTCGCCGGTGCACTACAAGCACAACCCGGTGAAGACGATTAAGACCTCTGTCATGGGCACGCTGAACATGCTCGGTCTGGCTAAGCGCGTGGGCGCTCGCATGCTCCTCACGTCCACGTCCGAGGTGTACGGCGATCCGCTCGAGCACCCGCAAAAGGAATCGTACTGGGGTAACGTCAACCCCATCGGCGTGCGCTCGTGCTACGACGAGGGTAAGCGCGTCGCTGAGACGCTCTGCTTCGATTATCACCGCCAAGAGGGTGTCGATATCAGAATCGCCCGCATCTTTAACACGTACGGACCCAGAATGGCTCTCGAAGACGGCCGCGTCGTCTCCAACTTTGTCTCCCAAGCTCTCCGCGGCGAGCCGCTCACGGTTTACGGCGACGGTAAGCAGACGCGATCGTTCCAATACGTCGATGATCTCGTCGCCGGTCTCATGGCGCTCATGGATAATGAGAACGAGATCGGACCGGTGAACATCGGCAACCCGGGCGAGTTCACCATGCTTGAACTCGCCGAGGTCGTCAAGGAAGTCGTCGATAAGAACGCGAAGATCGAGTACAAGGAAAACACGGCGGACGATCCGGGTAGGCGTCGGCCGGACATCACCCTCGCGAAGAAGACGCTCGGGTGGGAACCGAAGGTCACCCTCCGCGAAGGCTTGCCGAAGATGGTTGAAGACTTCCGAGAGCGTCTCAACCTGGGCGCGGCCAAGGCGTCTGCGACCGCGACCGCGACGACGACCGCGACGACGACGGCGACGGCGACGAACTGAAGTATTCATTGTTCGTAACTAGACCACCTCGATGTTGTGTCATTGCATCCTAATACTACGTGATCTCCTCCTTCACTTCTATTTTCACATCTCCCGGCAATTCGTCAAAGACGTCGCCCGCATCGATGTCGTCGAGCGTCAACAGCGGCATCGAGGCCGGCAGATATTGCTTAGCCGCGTGCGTCGGCAACGTCATCGTCGATCCAGCGCGCATGCGCTCCGCCTCCTCCAACAAGAACGCCAACCGATCCTGGTTCGCCGAGGGTAGCAACTTCGAGGCGTACGGGACCATGTCGAAAAACGACGTGCGAATGGTAACCTCCGCCATGCCACTCACCTCGGAGATTCGGAATAGGCTCGCCTTATCTTTGTGAATCCCCTTCACGACGGCGGAGATGAAGATGGAAGCCGCGGCCACGGACGCGGGCTGCTTCTCGCTCCGATGACCCTCCGAGTCTCTCAGTTCCTTAAACGTCCTCACGATGTGAGAGCACAGCTTCAAGTACTCGTGCTCACCGATCCCGAGGTTGCCGCAGAAGCGATTTGTGAGGAGTTCCGGCGTGATCATCTGTTCGTTCATTTGCATGTTCAACCCATCGCACACCTTTAAGATGAACTTGTAGCATCGTCCTATTTCCTTCACCGTCGTTCCTTGCGCCGCGCCGCACACCTCCTTAAACGTCCGCGTCATCCCTTCTTGCCTCGCGGCGATGTACAGACACGCCGCGTACATCGCTGCGTTCGATTTCCCCAGCGTCGAGTGCGCGCTCGTCACCATCCGATACAAATCGCACGCTCCGTCCTTGACCACGCGATTCATCCCCATCGCATCCGCGAACTCGCCGATGCTGTGAAACGCCGCGATGAGCGCCTTATCCGGATTCATCCCGCGATTATGCAATCGCGTCAGCGTGGCGTTATACGTCCCATCCGGATTCTTCCCGATCGTCGTGCTCAATCCGCCACCCGTGAGCATGACGTTCGTCGCCCCCACCGTGCGCGACGGATCGGCCCCATTCTTATCCTTATCGCCGTCCCCGAACGTCCGCCACTCCGAGCACTCGTCGATGATCCTCGATTCGATCACCAATCCGCATTCGGTGCATATCAAATCCCCAGACGCGTGATCCTCGACGATCGCGGTGTGCGTGGCGCACTTTGGACAGATTTGCGTAAACTTTTTAATCTCCTGCGCGCTCGGGCTCGGGGCGTGGTTCACGCTCTGCGCGCTCATCGCCTGCATCACGCCCCGTCGCGCTCGCCGCGCGCGCGCGCGCTGGAGTGTCGCGCGCGTCGACGCGCGGTGCCGACCGATCGCCGCGCGGTCGTTCGCGGGGTCTCCATTCCTTGAGTCATGACTCGTCACTCGTGCCCACCACCCACCACCCATCACCCATCGCCCGTCGCCCGTCGCCCGTCGCCCGCACACCCGTGCGCGCGGCGCGCGCGATGCTGCGACACGAGCGTCGCCCGCTCGTTCGATCGGTCGCGTCGAGCGCGTCGGACGTCGAGCGCGCGCGCGCGTCGAGCGACGCGCGGGCGATCGGGACAACACCCGAATCGATGCACGACGCCGACGACGCCGACGAGGAGATCGAGCGCACGCGCGGCGAGCGGGCGACGCGAGTGTGTCGATACGGTGTGCGCGCGGTGGCGCTCGCGGTGGTGGTCGTGCTCGCGGTCGGCGCGGCGGCGGCGGCGATGACGCGCGGCGGCGACTCGACGCTGGCGACGGCGGACGCGGCGTCGGCGGTGATCGGTGGGCGAGGTGGGATGGGGTGGAGAGTCGATGGTGAGAGCGGTGATTTCGCGGGCGCGCGGGGACGGCGACGGGTGGGAGGGGGGCTCGGTTCGAAACCGCGGACGCGCGCGACGAGCGAGACCGCCGCGTAGAGGAGACGCGCGAAGAGGAGAGGAGAAGGAGGGAAGGAAGGAAGGAACGAACGGACGTTCATGTATTAAAATGGATGTATGCTCGCTAAAGCGCGCGCGCCTCGATCGAGAACGACGTCGGAGACGACGCGTCGAGCGAGGCGGGAGACCTCGTCGAGCGCTCGGATTCGGGACGAGTCGTTTATTCGTAGATCCACGCCTTGGCGCACGGTTCGTACTCGCACACGCCCTCCGGGAACCAGAGGCCGATTTCGTGGTTGGCGCTTTCGACGGCGTCCGAGCCGTGGATGACGTTGCGACCGACTTCGATGCAGAAGTCACCTCGGATCGTGCCCGGTTCGCTCGCCGCCGGGTTCGTCGCGCCGATAATCTTACGCCCCGTCTTCACGACATCCTTACCTTCCCACACCATGGCCACCACCGGGCCGGAGCACATGTACGACACCAATCCACCGAAGAACGGCTTGGAGGAGAGATCGGCGTAGTGCTTCTCCGCGTGTTCCTTGGTCACGTTCATCATCTTCATCGCGCGGAGCGTGAACCCTTTACGGGCGAATCGCGCGATGATCTCCGCGACGAGTCCGCGTTGGACCCCGTCCGGCCTATTCGCGCGCACGATCGCGTGCGCATCATCGTCAGTCATCGTCCCTCGCATCGAGCGCGCGTGCGTTCGCGCACGCGCGCGGTGTCGACGCGATGTCGTTCACGATGCCAGTGTCGAGCGATCGCTCGCCGTGCCCATCCATCGCGTCGCGTCCGTCGCCGCGCGCGCGTCGCGACGGGTGCGAACGCTCGACGACGCCGCGCACGCACTTGATCATGATGTACGTGCGTTCGTTGGACATCTCGGTCGCGGTCGTCGGTGTGTGCGGACGAATGATCGATCGAGGGCGAGGCGGCGGCGCGATCGCGTGGATGACGACAGTTTTAGCACCGCGCGGAGACTTTTACTTTTACACCCGTCGAGGATCCCGATCGATCGAAGACCGCGGACGATCTCAACGCGCGGCGCGCTCGAGGTGGGGCATGATTCGAGAGCCGTCGTCGAGGAGAATCGGGAGCTCGAGCGCGCGAGCGATCTCGAGACGGTACCGCTCCATGACGTCGGCGGACAAAGCGACGGACTCGCTCGACGACGGCGACGGCACGGGCGAGAGGAAGCGAACGCGGCAGCGATTGCTCGGAATTCTCGCCAGAGTGAAGATGATGTAGAAGAGATCCTGAAGACCGGTGACCCAACTGGGTGAAAAGTGACCGGGACCCTCGAACGTGAGAGAAATGGCGCCCATGAAGCGGGGCGCGACGATTTCAAAGCTCTTCGGATGGTGCCAGCGAGTGATTTCGCATCCGATTTCGGGCTCTCCGCCGGGGAAGAGAACTATGCGACGACGAGCACCCGTCTTCGAACCATTTTCATTGGCTCGAGCGCGCGCGTTGAGCAGCACAGATCGCAGCATATCTACCCCGACGTTTTTCATCGCCGGCTCGACGACGAAACAATCCGCGCTCAACGCGACTTCGCGGAGGAAAGGTAGATTGAGAATTCCCGCGCCACTGACAAAGTACGGCACCTCGTCGAGGACGAAACTCAAAACCAATGTATCGATGATTCCTCTGTGATTGCAGACGAACAGCAGCGTCGACTCCCGTGGTTCGCCGGTTATGTGTACTCTGAGGTATCCGAGCGAGAAGAGCGCCGCCTTGGCCGCGAAGTGCACGCACTTCAAGTGCCAGCGATGCCAACGCATGAACCAGTCGGGATAAACGACTGTGGAATCTTCGTTGTGTCTCATGGTGAGCCAGTCGTGGACGAAACAGACGCGACGGTCCGCGTCCTTGCAGCGCGAAATCAGCGTGCGACGCGGCGCCCCGAGATACGCATTGAGCATGAATGTGGCCAAAATCTTGGCGACCGATAAAATCCAGGTCACGACGCACACGACGGCAAGAACGATCAAGCGAGGAACGAGAATGAGCGCTCTGATGAATTGTCGGAGATCGAGCGGAAGCGGTTCGAGGTCGGTGGGAAGAGTCATCTTGTGACCACGTCCAATATTGTAATTCCCACGCTCGGCTTCAGCTATTAATAAACAAAAAAGGTACACACTGAGAGCGAGCGCTCGGCGAATACTCGCTTCTACGCAGTTTTGGGAACGGATTCCACGCCGTTCACGAGTGCGAATCGTCCTTTTTCGCGGGGAAACACCACGGCGTCGTCGTCCCACGGCCACCCGCCGAAACGAGTCGACCGGTAGTCGGCGAACGCTTGCTCGATTTCTTGGCGCGAGTTCATGACAAACGGACCGTGCTGCGCCACCGGCTCCCCGATCGGTTTCCCTTGCAGAACGAGGACGATGACTTCGACGTCGCTGTTGTTCGTCAGCGGCACGTCTCTCGACGCGTCGACGTCCAACACAGCCTTTTGATCTAAAAGTTGGCCGCACACCTCAACAGAAGCGCCTTCGACGAAGTAGAGCGATCGGTTCGTGGACGTCCCCCCCTTGGCTGGATTCAGCGTAAAGCTCGCGCCGGGTTGTATGCGTAACAAATACACGCCCACGTCGTTCTCCGGATTCGCCGCCCACGAGTTAGGCGTCGGCTTCAACGCGTTGACTCCGTCGTACTCCCCCGTCCAAATCGTCACCTCCACCCCGTCGTACGTCTTCTTCTTCACGTCTTCGCTCCAGTGCATCACGAACGCAGGCTCGACCATCTTATCCTTCGCCGGCAGGTTTAACCAAATCTGAAACAATTGCAGCGTGTTCGGTCCATCCGCGCGTCGAAGCGGAAACATCTCTCCGTGCACGATCCCCGCCCCCGCCGTCATGTACTGCAAATCCCCATCGCCGTACCTCCCGGCGCATCCCTGGGAGTCGGCGTGATCGATCGTTCCCTTCATCGTCGCCGTGATTGTTTCGAAACCTCGATGCGGATGCGACGGGAACCCCGCGAAGCCGTCGCGTCCGTGGTACATCCTGTACGGCGCGCGCGGGTCGAAATCCGCCCCGTTCCCGCGTCTGGGCGCCCGCATCTTCTCGTCCCCGGCCGGGTACTCGTCTCTGTGATAGACGCAGAATAAGAATGGATCTCGCGTCGCCATCGGGGTGGGTATGTGCACCGCGTGCGCCTTCTGAATCACCGCCGACGCGCCGGCGTCGTCGTGCATCTCGCGCGTGCACACGTGTCGGCTCGACGCGCGGTTCGGTGACGTCCGAGCGCGGGAGATGGACCCGGCGAGGACCCGGCGCATGCGCCGAGGAGTGCGGACGCGCGCGCGGGACGCGGGATGAAAAACACGTCGGCAGCCACTCGGAGATCACTGACGTCGTCGCGCTCACGCGAGATCTAACGCATCGATCTCGCGCGGCGTCGGCGCGCGCGATCTGCGGTCGACGTCGACGTGAAAGACGTCGGCGAATGCGCGAATGACGGCGTCGGCGGCGCGACGCGTGAGTTCGTCGCGCTCCCGCGTCGACATCGGCGCGCGCGTCTCCGGCACGCGCGCCGCGAACGCCGAACTCACCACGCCCTCCTCCCCTCGTAAGATTTGCGCCACGCTCCCCACCGGTCGATCGTCGATTCCGCACGGGACGACGACGGCGAAGTGCGAGAGGTCCGGGCACACGTTCAGCGCGACGCCGTGATAGGTGATCCACCGCCGCGCTCGCACGCCCACCGCCGCGAGTTTATGTCCATCACACCACGCCCCCGTGAGGCCGTCTATTCGATGACACTTGGACGCGTCGCACCCGAGTTCGATCATCGCCCGCAGCGCCACCTCCTCCAACGCCGACGTGTACGCGCGTAAATCCCGCGCCCGTCCATCCGCACCGAGGTTGAGTATCGGGTACAGCACCAACTGTCCCGGCCCGTGATACGTCGCCTCGCCCCCGCGCTCGCATCGTCGCACCTCGAACCCATCCGGTGGCGCGTCGAGGTTGAATTTCACGTGCGCCTCGACGGACCCCGCGCCGAGGGTCACCGTGGGCGGATGCGCGCACAGAATCGCGACGTCTCGCCATCGATCGGTGCTCTGTCGCAGCGCGGCGTGAACGAACCCGCGTTGCCACGCCCAGACGTCGTCGTACGCCGTGAGCGCGCGCGAGACGTCGTAGACGACACACGGCCGTCGCGCGTCATCATCATCATCATCATCATCATCATCCCGCGTTTCCGTCGCGCCCGGGACGTCGCGTCGCCTCGCGCGCGCGCGCTGGAGGCGACGACGACGCGACGTCCCCGACGCGCGGTCGCACCGCGTCGACGCGCGCGCGCGCGACGACGCGCGCGGCATTGTGCGACGCCGTCGCGTTGCGCCCCATTCGATCCCGCGCCGAGGCGCGCCGCGGCCGTCGATGCCCCCCCGCGCGCGCGCGGCGACGCCCGACGACGACGTCGACGACGCGCGCGCGCGCGCGAAGCGGTCGCGGCGTCGC